AGCATTAAACCTCTCACAAACTGCACCCAATTGTATAACCAGTTTGGGTCCTAAATGTTACATTAGGAAATGATGATTTTATTCTTACTCTCTGGAATCAGTCTTCTTAAAGGTACAGTTCACCCTAAAATAAAAATTCTAAGCTGTTGATCAATCTAATCACTCTTGCAGGTGTTGATCAAGCCAGCGGCTTAAAAGGGAGCTTCTCACCTCCTTCATTACAAGTGAGTCTACTGCTTTAGAACTGCGTATCTCAATATCTGGATATTCTCCAGTCCCTCTCGGAGGTATAACCTCTCCTGCATCTGTCACCAGGATCGGAGAGGTGCTGTGGATGCGAACATGTTCCCTCCAGGGAATTCTCGATCAAATGCCCGACAGAGGAACCCTGGATTGAGGAGAACCTATGACATGGAGGGTAAATGATGATTACCTCGTTTCTATCCGCCGGTCTTTATAGTACCGTAGAATGCAACCTGTTTATCTAAATGTGTTGGGACTTTCAGGTTTGGTGGAGTTGTTAAACCGAGCTCAGACCTGCAGTGCTGATGATCAGCGAGGTCTCCTGAAGAAAGAACATCTAATGCTGCCTCACTTCCTTCAGTTACCCCTGGAGGAGGCTGAGAACAACAGATCGCTGGAGGAGTCCTGCTCCAGTATGGGGTCTCTTGAAGTGGATTCTCCTGCAGGACAATCAGACACATTAGGGGAGGGACCATCTGAGAGCCAGTGCTCAAACCCAGCCCGAGAAACTGTGGTGTGAGCTTAATGGACCTGTTACATCCTTTGCTTCAATGATCAGTCACACTGGAACATGACGAATAGAGAATAATGTTTCAGGGAAGTGAATGCGACGGTCTTTATTGATGGACACTTGTTTTTAGGATTATTCTTTTTTTGATAAAAGCAGATAGTACGAAATATTGTTTACAGTAGATGTGATTCTGCACATGTTAATGTCTAGCTGCTTGTATTTATTTCAAATTGATTCACATAACAAAAATACATTATATCTGTTTTGATGAAGACATGCATTGCGTACTTCCCTTAAAGGTTTCATTGATTTCGAATGAAAACCATTCGAAATTGGTTTTGGTAACACTTTATTATGTACACTTTACTACATTCAAATTAGTTGATGCGTTAGTTATCATGAACGAGCAATTAAAGCATTAAACTGGGTTCATTGTAATTTATAATTATTAGTTTATGTAAAGGTTAACATCATTATTTTTCAGGTCTTTAATGACTTTAACAAATCCCTTAATGGGAAACAGGATATTTTCATTTTCACCAAGATTTGCAGAAGCTGAATAAATAAGCTTTCCATTGATGTATGGTTTGTTAGGATAGGACAATATTTGGCTGAGATACAACTATTTGAAAATCTGGAATCTGAGGGTGCAAAAAAAATTCGAAACATCGAGAAAATCGCCTTTAAAGCAAAAATAAATGCTTTATATATTTACAGTAGGAAATTTACAAAATATCTTCATGGAACATGATCTTTACTTACTATCCTAATGATTTTTGGCATAAAAGAAAAATCGATAATTTTGAACCATACAATGTATTGTTGGCTCTTGCCACAAATACACCCGTGCTACTTGTGACTGGTTGTGTGATCCAGGGTCACATATAACATTCATTACTACTATGCTTAATAGATATAACCAGTTTAGATGGAAGTGGATCTCAAGCTGACTAGCTGAAGACATTACTGTAGCTAATATACACAGGACTTCCTTGAAAATAAATTCCAGCACAGCGCTACGCCATAATGAAATGACCCTACACAATAGATAATGCTTTAATGAACTCTGTTAGAGAGCTACATATGGCAGTTTATCTGTTCAACAAAATACCTTACTGACCTGTTGAGTAATAAAAACACCATCTCCGCATCGCTTTTGCAACATTTAAAATCCCTCAGGTCTCACCCTCTCCGAAAAGCCAAGCCAATGTTGATTCTTGTTTTATTACGAGCTCTGTTGAATTCTCTTTTTGCCAGCAGACTCGTGAAAAACATCACATCAGGTCTAAAGTGTAAAAATGTATAATAGGCTTACGATAGTGAACCAGGGTAACACAAAACACGTTTTGGAAGAAGGATTGATGATGTTGGATTAAAAAAAAAAAGAGAAAAAAAAGTTACATGTACCTTTAACCAATAGCCTGTGAGGCTTTAAGTGACGTCAACTGTGAATAGGGAAACATTTCAGAGGTTGTTTCAAGCGATTACATTTTGTTGAAAGATTATGAAGATATTATTTTGTTTACAATAACATCTACTGATGGATTTCCACAATAAGACCATGATATACCAACAGTTTTAATTTTCGTGATGATTTCAATGTCCTAAAAGGTTGATAATGACTGGGGTTCTGTGTGGAGATTCAAGATTTGAGTTTCGCTCACTCCTATCTTCCGAAGACATGGAACTGCCCCGGGGGTGAATGAAGAGAGAATGACAGAAATGGAAGGAGGTAAAATAGAGGCAGGGAGGGAGATGGCGCTAATGCATGGAGTGTATTCTGCTCGTAACCTTGATGCTGATGGTTCCCTAGAATTTAATAACACACAGAGACCAAACACACACACACATTTCCCCCTAGTGCACCTTGTCCTCGGGAAAGTCTTCATCAGGGACGTTATATTTATCTTCTCTGAATGGACAGCATGTAGCAAGGTAAACAGACTCAATCAGATGACAAGCCCCCAAGCTGAGGCACAGATAGAAAGAGAAAAAGAGAGAGAATGAGGGAAGGCAGGGAGAGTGAAAGAGTGAAGGGAGGGAGGCGAATCTGAGAGGTGAGGATTCTGCGCTGAGCGTGAGCGTGTCTTACTGAGGATACAATTGTTACTGTTCTAACTCGTATGCAAAGGTCCATTTTGTGTTGTTTTAAACAGAACTGCTGCAAGACTGTCCTCAATGAGCAAACACTGAAATATCAACAGGTAAGACCACTTTAACAAACTCCAATACGTCATGTGTCTTTTATATGATCTTTTCTTATGCTAATTACAGGATACACACCGTATTTTTCTTTTTAGATTAATTTATGCATTAAAGAATTGTAATTATTATTTTAATCTGGGATGTTGATGTCATCTAAACCCTGTGTGTGTGTGTGTGTGTGTGTGTGTGTGTGTGTGTGTGTGTGTCAGAAGAAGAACAGAGAGTCCACACACACACACACATGCTTGTTTTTCTTTCATGTTGGTAACTTTCCATCAACTTCAATTGTTTTTAATACTGAGCTAATGATTTTTTCTATCCCCCAACCCAACATGTAACCATTTTCATTTTCATTAAGACATTATTTTGCATTTTTTTGTTTTCCATCTGGGGCCCTGTTTACACCTGGTATTAAGATGCGTTTTGGTCAATCGGATCACAAGTTGACAAGGGAGACACATTCCCGTTTACACCTGGTGTTTTAATCCGTCTCTTTTGTCCACTTTCTTGATGTCCTGATTTCTTCGAGGGGAGGGTTTTGGGCGAGTAAATGTATGGGCTTTTTCAGATCTTTCGATCTAATGGACAAAATAAGCTCACGCAATTTACATATGAATGCGACCTTAGACGATGGAAAAACAGACGGAGAGCAGCCGCTTTCGTTTCTGCTCTGACAGCCGCAAGACCACGCCGAACGCTGAGTGTGTGTTAGAAAACAGGAATGGTGAGAGAACATTGTGCTTAGTACATTTTCTTCTTCAAACCAAACTTAGGTCTTCAGCCGACAATGTTTAAATCCCGTATGGATAGCGCGCTTCCAACACATTTGGTCAGTAGGTGGAGAGAGTAGGCGGTCTTTTGTGGCATTCAACCACGTGAACTTCTACACTACTGGTACATTTACACGACAACAATGTAGGCCTACTAAAAATGGAAATGTTTTTCCTTTGCGTTTTTCGCATACAGACGACAATGTTTTCAAAACGAGACGAAATGATGCGAAACGATTAAAAACGCTGTGTTCTGCTGCCAGGACAGTAGTTGGCGATGTCACTTTGTAAAGAAACACTACGTGCCATAGACTGAACACGTAATCTGCATGCCGTTTACACAACACCGTTTTCAACTAAAAACGGAAAACTTTTTATTTACATGACATTTGAACATTTACATGACAACAGTGTTTTGGAGGCCTGAAAATGCAAACTTCTGAAAACGTATTTGTAATCGATTTGTAATGCAATTGATACTGTAATCGTCTCTGTGTAAACTACAAAAACGTGAATTTGTGAAAACTGTGACGTCATGTGCATGCGTATTACATGTTGAGTCTATAGCTGTGTAGTGTTTATTTACAAAGTGACATCGCCAACTACTGGCCTGGCATGAATAATAATACCCTGTTTACGTCTATATTTAACGTCTTCCACTTGTCGCCCGATCGACCAAAACGTAGCTTAATACCAGGTGTAAACAGGGTCTTGGGGACCATTAGTCAGTCATCACAATTTAGTTGATTTTAGGATTTACTATACTTTCGGCGACAATTGTCCCAACAATATAGCCAAACACCACAGCTGCACTCTACTTCCCACAGTGTTCATTCAAATTAGCCATTAGCCGAATTAATCAAATGATGTGTATATATTACTACAGAATTTATATAATTTTGCTTGTTAAAATGATCTTAGTTTTAATTCTTTCTTAAATATGAGTCTGTTAAACAGCCACAGGCTTGGCTGATATGTAGTTAAGTGGTCAAAAGATACTTTTTAGAATAAGTTGTGCACAGAGGTGTTTGGTGTTGTTGTTACAGTATATCAGACAGTCCTGCATGAGCAGTCACAAGAAAGAAGAAAAATATGAATCATGAATGAATTAATTGTTCATGATGTGATCTAACATGCATTTAGACAGTAGAATACTGAGACTAAAAACACTGACACTAAATACACTACCCAAAGTGCTTTGCATGAATTGAGATCCATTTCAAGGAGTGACTCCCATCAAACTGATTTCCTGTGATTTATTAGATTGCGATGATGATACTTTCTGATCTTCATATTAGATATCTTACAACATTTCAAATGCTTTCAGAGTTCAGAGATCATGCACAACATGATCTGAAATGAATCAGTAGATTTAGTTGGCTTGGTTTATGGAACATAATGATTTTGACTCATCTTGATCTTGATCCAGTATTTTGTTCATAACACAAAGATGTAAAATACACAACAAAGACATTTCCATTTCCAAATGGAAAAATCAAAATCATTTCCCATTCAACAGCAAACTCAACAGCGTTGTTGTAACCGTTCTTAATGTTCTCCAGAACACTGTGCACAGGCATAAAAATGTACCCTTCTCTGTTTTGAAAGATGAAAAATCACATTTTGAGGCAAGGGTCTCTGTAATCTAAACTCACCCTGGAGGGACACCGCCCGTCACATTCTTTCCTTCATCTATCAGGCTCCTGGTACTAGCTTGTTGCCATGGTAATGCGTCTGGAGCTGTAGAGTCCTAATTGGACTCAGTCCTGGGTGAGATTTTGAATGGCTGCTTCCATGCCTCGCTCTTGTTTGGAATAACTTGAATACTGATTAAGGATACTGTTTTACGGACATTCACAAAATACCGAACTAAGAAAACGGAGGCCCTGTTTTATAATTATGTATCTTTCTTCTTGCTCAGTATTTGCATCTCATTTTTAAACCGTCTTTCCCTCTCTCCCTGTCTGTTTATCTATCTATCTGTCTATCCCTCTCTATAGCTCTATCTCGCCTTCATGGTCTCTCTCCTGCCAGCAAATACACATGCATGCAGGGCTGAGGGTTTAATGAGTCACAGTCTGCTGTCTCTATGTGCTGACATTTGCACCAATCTCATGTTTGAGCTCAGAGTCGCCTCAGCTGGTGGCCTTCTTCCAGTTGACATGACATTTCAAGAGTCCTGCTGGGTGACATACTAGTTCCTCTAAAATTATGTTTATCTAATACCAATACTAAATTGTAGGCTACCAGTAGCGGCTCCTGACCGAGCATTTATGTAGGACAGATTCTGAGTCTTAGCCCTTTATTATAATAAATATTTTGTGAGCTTTATATTCTAATCGCTGAACACATACAGAAAACTTTTGGCAGAGCAGAAGTCTAACATCCTGCATTATTCAGCCTGAGGGTGGCGCTCTAATGATGATTGACATGCACGCATAGAATGCCTTAATGTAGTATGTATTGCCTCCGAATGTTGTTTTAGAATGTTAGTTGTGAGAATTCTGGTTGGGAAAATAATTTCTATTCTCAGAACAAACATAAAACAAACACAACAGAACTAAATAAAGTCTATTCCCATTAGCACGTTTAAACTTTCGTTAATTTGATACGAAGAACAGACCAACTTTACTGACCTAATGCAGACTAATGTAAACAAAGCTGAAGCAGACTGATATTGTATTGGTCTGGAGGAGCGAGGTTTACGTAAGGTAACGTGAAAATAAGAGGGGCAGTCTGAAATCTGCCCCAATGGCTTTCAATTAGAGCCGAAGCAGTTCCATTTTTGGCCACGGATTCACTTGGGAAAATTGTGGGGGGCTGTAGAGGTGGGGAGGGCTCTGATAATTGTGCTGTTTTATAAACTAGTTTATAAGTCGTATTGTATTGTACCTCCATGTTCAATCTCTGTCTATGCATTGGTCAGTATTTGAGCCATGATTTGTTTGTAATTTTAGAGCTTTGAAAGGTGTTGATGAGTCATATCAGTGAAAGGAAAACTAATCACACAGCAAATAGATGCAGTCTAGGCTTAGTTTGCCAAATCCTAAGATTATTAAAGGCAAGTCTTATTATGCAGTCAAGGTTCTGAGCAGTCAATAACAATAGAGGTTTAATCATTTCATATAAACAGAACAATGACAGCGATTATTTATTTGAAGCAGAGATGGCATTCATGAATGCATTTAGAAAACATCAATATTTCTACACAAGCAGTTTCAGATATGATGAGTGCAGAAAGGGAAATACCTAAGCCAGTCCCAGGCTTATTTCTGCTTCAAAAGCTTGGTGCTTTGGTAAAGTGGGTCCTTTGTGCTGCGATGATTCAGTGACACAGTATGAAGACATTGACTTCACTGCTCTGCTCCAGATTCTGAGAAATTTAATCGAGCAAATGGTTTCTTAAAGTGTCCATATTATGCCTTTTTAAAGTGTTGATTTTTTTTTGGGGGTTTAATAATTGAAAGTTAAAAAAACACATTATTTTCCTACATATTTTAGATTGTTGCAGCACCTCTCTTCCCAGTCAGTAAAACTCTGTTTAGTTTATGCCTCCATGAAGCCCCTCCTTCAAAAAAGCGCAATGTGCACTGATTGGTCAGTTGGACCAGTGTGTTGTGATTGGTCAACTGCTTTGAGCGTGTTTTGAAAATGTTACATCCCTTACCATAGCCACCTTAGATCCAAGCTGGAAAAAACAGGACCTCTTGGTCTGTCACATGAGTGCAAGGAGCGCATGACGAATGAGAGTCAAACGAAAAAGGTTTTATTTAGAAATCCACAGGTAAACGTAGGAGATAAACCGAGAATACTCAACATCTTACACAGACATAAACCATAGACGAGATCAGACAACTTAACTGAAAGAAACAGGGAGTATAAATACTAGAACAAATGAGGGAACTAATGAGTTAATTAACAGAACAGGTGAATGGGATAACTAATCAAACACATTGTGAAACTGGGTTAAACAGGCAGATAAGGAAGACAGAACCAAAACACAAAGAAATATGGCCAAAACAGAACATAACTCGGACATTACGCTCCTCCCGAAAAGGCGCGTCCTTGCGTCGTAAATAGTCAAACTGAGGAGGAAGGGCAGGGGGCTCTGGAGGAGAATGTGGAACTGGATAGGGGCGAGACAAAACTAAGTCCAACACATAAGTCCATGGAGGAGTGGAGGGTGGGAGGAGCCAAGAGGGAAACTGTGCAGACGACACCCTGGGGACGAGCGATGGAGAAGGACAAGCTGGAGATGGAGACCCAGGTGGAGCTGACTAGCAGAAGAGCCCACGCGACATTGCTCGCACTAGAGACCAAGGTGGAGCTGCAGCGACGAGTGTCCGAGGTGGAACCAAGAAGCCTAAAGCCTGAGGCGGAGCCGGTGGGACTGAGGATGAAGGTGGAGCCGGGGGAAGACAGAGACAGACGGAGCCAAAGGTGCAGGTAGGACGACGTCTGACCATGGCGGAGCCAATGGGACCGAGGGAGCCCGTTGGTGCCGTAAGGATGATGGTTTCTGGTGGAGCCTAGGGAGGGAAGAGCCAAGGCGGAGCCAACAGTTCAACATTCCGTGGTGGAGCGAGGGGTTCGGAAGCTGGATGCGGAGCCAGGGGATCCTTCTTACTGGGCGGAGCTGGTGACCTGAAGCTCCGAGGCAGATCCTCACAATATAGTGTAGGAGGTGAAGCGTGGTGAAGGTAACCAGCGGTGGGGCTGTGGATCTGACTATCAGAGGAGGTGGGAGAGAGAGGCTGGCAGGGATCACATGCGACATGAGGCTGGGTGGAACCAGCAGGGAAACAGGAGATTCAGGGCTAGTTGTATCCATCAGGGAAAAATAAGATTTAGGGCTAGTTGGAACCAGCAGGTAAACAGGAGATTCAGGGCTAGGTGGAACCAGCAGGTAAACAGGAGATTCAGGGCTAGGTGGAACCAGCAGGTAAACAGGAGATTCAGGGCTAGGTGGAACCAGCAGGTAAACAGGAGATTCAGGGCTAGGTGGAACCAGCAGGGTAACAGGAGATTCAGGGCTAGGTGTATCCAGCAGGGAAAAATGAGATTTAGGGCTAGGTGGAACCAGCAGGGAAACAGGAGATTCAGGGCTAGGTGGAAACTGCAGGTAAACAGGAGATTCAGGGCTAGGTGTATCCAGCAGGGAAAAATGATATTCAGGGCTAGGTGTATCCAGCAGGGAAAAATGAGATTTAGGGATAGGTGGAACCAGCAGGGAAACAGGAGATTCAGGGCTAGGTGTATCCAGCAGGGAAACAGGAGATTTAGGGCTAGGTGGAACCAGCAGGTAAACTGGAGATTCAGGGCTAGGTGTATCCAGCAGGGAAACAGGAGATTTAGGGCTAGGTGGAACCAGCAGGTAAACTGGAGATTCAGGGTGGAACCAGCTGGGTAAGGAGAAATTGATAATTATTTGGGATTATTGGAGATGTTTGAGAAAGATAATTACCTGAGGCCATAAAAATCAAATCTACAGTGGCAGGGTTGTGGGTGAGGCTTTCCTCCAAGCTCTTGAACTCCACAAGCACTCCCTCAGTGGCACAGTGTGTTGTGGGCTCACGCACCTGTTCATACTCCCCTTGTGGATCTGACTTCGGGGCGATGTTACTCTCCGTTCTCATTGCAGGCTAGGGCTCGTCCATCACAGCAGCCCGATCTCCATTGTCTGCGGTGGGCTCTCGCAACTCCAGCGTGCAGTTTGCGGTTGTTGGATGGCTGGTCTCTGGATGTGGAGTAGGGCTGGTGTGATCCTCAGCCAGGCCGATGGTGAACAGGGAATCTTTGTTCATTTATCATTTACCAACCCAAGTTTCTTTGTGTTTCATTTACCCTCATCATTTACCCTCATGTAGTTCCAAACCATGTAAGACTTTCGTTCATCTTCAGAACAGAAATACATTTCTAATTTAATCTGAGAGATTTCTGTCCTTCCATTGACAGTTCACTCAACTACCACTTTGGGGCTTCAAAATGTTAATAATCCATATGAATCGAGCAGTTTAATCCAAATTTTCTGAAGAGACAGGATCTCTTTATATAATGAACAGATTGGTAGTGACTTTTGCATAGCACTCACATTCACGTTCTCTCACATAAAAATGTAGATGTTTTGGGATATTCAAATTCAGGCTTTTGTTGACAAGCGCTTTCAATGGTGCCTTTCTTGCTTCACTTTACCTTGAAAAGCCATGTCTCATTCTCAGCTACGCCTACAGTACCTTGTCATGGGATTCCCGCCAGGAGCAATTTGGAATCGGTTAGTTCGGTGAGTGACAAATATTCCACAGAGACATGGTACAAAAAGGTGTGAAAGTGAAGCAAGCTTCTAAAGAAGAAGACCCAATAATCTCTGTAGACCAATTACGGTTATCATCCTATTAAACTAATAGGTGACATTCAGAGATGAAATTTCCTCTTTGTGAAGTATTGTCACGGCTAATGTTGTTGTTCTCCATCTCTTTCATATTTTCAGATAAACAAAAGCATTGACTACTTTACCTAGAGACAGCTGATTTCCTCAAGCCAAGACATGGAAAGGACAGAGAATAAAGTGAGTGGAGACTGAACCAAATGCTGAGAGCATAGCAGAAGAGAGCGGAAATGGTCCTAGAAAACACAGATTTTTCATTAGTGAAAGTTGATGATTTTCTGGTCTGAGCCCATCTTATTTTCATTCCCCCAAGGTGTCCACCATCTCCCCACAAAAACAGACAGTGAAAAATAGATCCAAGTCCACAGAAGAGGTACAGCAAGCCAAAAAGGTAATGGCTCCACAGAATGCTAATATCCAACACATTTCATTTTAATTTGAAGCTCACCTCTGATACATCTTTAATGTGCCTTATGTGCATGTATATGACAATGTGGCATTTGTACATGAAATAAGATGATTAAATGGGCAGGAAACTGTCTCAATTGTCAGGTTTCAGTTTTTACATGCAGTGTGTCACATACTAAAGATTTCAGCAGCTGTCCAGCACCATCTAGTGATATGGTCGAATAATCTTTAAATGTGTGTGTGTGTGGATTTTCTTGGGGACAAAGTGTCTCTACCTTTTTTGAATCCATAGTGGCGTCCTCATTTGGACAATTTCCTAATGATAATAACAATACTTAAAATAGTTTTTTTCACTTTTACTATTATTATTATATTTTTTGGAATGTACAAAGTATATCTGGCTTTCTTATAGCGCATAGAATTTTTTTTTATATTTTAATAATAATTAACTTGTAGAGAGATTTCTATGGGCTAAACACTGTCAGTAAATATGTGCAAAATTGTACCTTTAGCTTGTCACTGGGTCAATTGACAACAAATCCCCCTTTTATTTTTTTTAACAGGAGTGTAAAAAAAATCTTTATAAATGCTATTCATTTCTCAAGGTACTAATATGCACTCGCTGGGGAAGATATTAAAATGTGTATTAAAATGTTACCCCAGTTGCAAGCAAAAAGTCAATTTTGGATGGTGTATGTCGTCATTTAGATAGCTGAGTAAAATGTGCATGTGTTCAGAAATCCTCTTACTGGATTCTAAAGTCTTTGGTTTTTGCCCTCCTGCCACAGGCCTTTCATACTCCACAAAAATCTCTTCCGGCTAAACCAGAAACCGAACAACTTGAGGTAAACATGAAATTATGGATTATGGGCCGCTTTAGAGCTTGACTTTGAAAAAAATGAGATCAAAGATTAGTCCCAAGACCAGTCAGTACTGCGTGTGCTGTCAGAGCTGCTTTATTATGTGTCTCATGTTTGTGTTTGATATCCTCGATTATATGGTGTCTAATGGCTTGTATATTTTATAGGAGACCTCAGAACTGAGTGCCTCATCGGAGGAGTTCAAATGATTGCCGGATTCAAACTTCGGGACTTTGAGATTTAGAGAGATCAACTGGAATTATGGGTAATAACAAGAGGATGATTCAGTGTCTCTGTTTATGGAATTGTGATTTTAGTTTAGTCTGCATAGAAGAAAACCAACAATAATCATGTGTAGCTTCTTGAATTTGTATGCCTGATGATGTTTGTGAAATAAATGCAGATATGACATGTGATTTGTGTGTGCAATTCATATTAGTAGGTTAATACATGCAGAGTTGTAGTGGCTTGTAAAATATAAATAAAATATAAAAACAACTTTTCACAAACACTATCATAATATTCAAAAAAGTATATTTTACATTTGAAGTGCACTGAAATGATTTGTTTTTCTTGTGTTCCAATAAAAATATCTAAAATATTTAAATAACTTAATATCTAATCCGGCAAAATATCCTTATGGCTTGTCAGTAAACGGCCACTGTTATGACTGGCTAACAAAAAGCAGACACAAAGCATTATGAAATTATTTACTTACGGTTTGTGATGCAGGAGCTTCATCTTTCAACATTATGTTTCTTTACATTGTAAAAAATCGTGTTGTAAATCAGTATTTTTGTAAGTGTGAGGTGGAGAAGAAACAAATAGTGATGCTGGTGATTTAATGACTGAATTAAACCAATGTCATTAAAGTCTGGATTTCTATTTCTATTCAAAGCATGAAATTATCAGCTTTGTGTTTCCAAATTTTTCCATTGCAGTCAAAGGCTACCACCTCCTATTTATTGCTAACAACCATGCCAGTGTCCCCTGACTGATAACAGACAGACAGATGCCGAGAGTTCACATCATGAGCTTTCACCTACTCGAAATGATTTCTGCTTATTTGGCACTGAAAATTACTGTGGGCCGGATCATTAGTGCTGCTTTTGCTCCATTGTCACATCACCACAGTGAGCTCACGGCATGAGTACGGAATGATCCTGAAGGGCAGGTTCCCCGAAGCAGATTACCAGGGTTAGAAAATTAGAGTTTCAGGATATAATGTGCTCAGAGTGACACTTTATGAGAAAACAAATCAATACTGTCAAGCTTTCATTTCATTGCTCATGGGTGTTCATGTTTGCCAGCTGGCTGAGATGTAAATTATTGGAATGTTTGGGGGGAACTTTATTTTTATCGAGCTCACCTCTGTTGTTATGAATGTCCGTCTAGTTTCTGGGAAAACAAACATTGGAAAAAAAATAAAACAAAACTAATGAGCAACATCTTGAGAGATCAAATGAGAATTGTACTGTTAATTGTAAGATAGTATAATAGGGGTCTGGTGAGGTACACTTTCAATAACGTTCCATTAGTTAACATGATATAACAATGAAAAATACTGATGTTTTTTAATAAATTAAGTTAATATTCATTTTTACATTTACTAATACATTATTTAAAAAAAAAAAAAAATATGTATCTGTTAATATCATTTAGTCAATATGGTTACACTTTATTTTGGATGGTCCACTTTAGACATTCCACTAAGTAACTTTGCAACTACATGTCAACTAACTCTCATTAGAGTATTCGTAAACTGTAGTAGTGTTTTGGTTAGGGTTCAGGTTAGTAGAATAAGTAGATAGCGGTGTTGAGGGTAACTCATTACAAATAACTTGAGTTACGTAATCAGATTACTTTTTTAAAGTAACTAACACATTACTTTTAAATTTACAGCCAAGTATCTGAGTTACTTTTTCAAATAAGTAACGCAAGTTACTTTGTTTTCCCATTCATTGACTGATAGCTCTCTTGTCCTCATGTTGAGGAAAATTGGGAGTAAGTGCAGAGGCGTTGTGTGTGACCATGATGGTAATTAGTTTTCCTATTTTTGTGATTGAAATAAATGTTTAAGCATCGTGTTTAGGTTTCACGTGTCCTTTGTTATGCAACCCTTTTCTTCCAATTTTAAAGAGGGGTTCGTAACAGCAGACAGTCAACTAATATTCTAATGAGAGTTAGTGGACATGTAGTTGCAAAGTTACTTATAGTCAACAGAAAGTCTAAAGTGGACCACTTAAAAAAGTGTTACCGTAAAGATGATTTAACTTGAGCTAACATGAACTAAAACTAAAGTTCATGAACTAAAAAGCTGTCAGCGATCAAAATATTGATTTTGAAGATGTTGAAAATGATAGTTTTGAGAATATGTTTGAGATTGTGAATATGAGCCATACTGAATGTACTGGGAAATGAGTTCTGACGAGGACAGTGGTGATGGTGTAAAACATCTGCTCAAACTGAACACTTCCAACCTCCAAAAGGTAACAAAATATACTTTCTTTTATTCTTCTGCAATTGTTACTCTAATATAAGGAGAGTTTTATATTATTGAGACAGGTAGAGGTCCATGTTAGATATAGATCCGGGTCACTAAAGACGATGTGAAATATGTAAAAGTGATTGGTGAAACATTCATGCATTTAAGGGTTAATGTCAGGTAATGCATTAACTAATGTTAATAATGGGACTGTTTAAATGTGACCTGTGAGGTCATTTAATTTGCGGGGTTGCTCATTCCAGAACAGTGAGTGGCCGGATTGAATACACCAGGGGTTTTATAGTTCATGAGAGTGTGAAGGCATGCTATTCATTCATGCATCTTAGAGTATGCAGTGAATTATTGTGTAACTGATTATTTGACAGTTAACTCTGCATGCCTTCTATAAATCTGGACATCAATAATTTATCTCTTTATGCATTATGCACAAGTCATGCATTTTAGTATCTGCAATCAGACGATATAATTGGAAAGCATAGCAGGTCTGGAAATATACAAACCATTCATCAGTGTCTCACCACTTGGTGTCCCACTGTCCATTCTTTGTCCCCTCAGAGAGACATGAACACAGTTATTGCTCTGCATATCAAAGTGCTCTGTCACAGCTAAAGCATTCTGAATAAAATCATTTTAGGCTTTAGTAAATGTACAACTTTTATTTCCCCATGTTTTTCTATTTACTTTTTAACTATGCACTGCATAATGAGTGACTTTGTCCCCCAAACTGAGATAGCGTATAAATGCTGGCTGATAAATGAATACATATGCAGCCAGGTGCGCAGAGCATCATTATATGATGAGGTATGTATTGAGCATGCCGTTTTCTTTTTATCTTATATATGTCGTGCGTAATTGCTTCACAATCAAGACAGTAGTTATCAACAGAATTATTCATATATCAAAAAGAAGAATTAATAAAGAAGAATTAAGCAACTGACCGTTTCAGAGCTTTTAATGTTCAGGAACAGAATGAACTTTATAGTTATTAATGTTCAGTTTTCAAACGGTCATGACGATCTGAGTGAGATACATACAAATGCTAACTTGTTAATTGGTAACACATAAACAAACACATGAAATGGTGGTAAAACGCATCAGAATGGTAATAAAGCAAAAACGAGATATTTTCTTACTATGATGTTTTTGTGGAATGACGGTATTAGGAGAATTCAATCAAACGTGTTTCTGCTTTCTGAATCCTGGATAAGTGAAAATGGATTTCGCTAAGGGGGGATGAAATTAAAGCTAATTTATATTTTCAGTGAATTCACAGGTCACATTGTGCACATTGTACGGACTCTGTTGCTTCATTATAAGATAAAAATGTTTTATTAAGATAAATATAAATCAATACAAATATTTCCCCCCCAGCGGTGATCTATGGCAAGATGCTCCATAACGTCATCTGAGCCATAGAAGAATAAAAGTAGGACTATTTTACCTGTCTCACAACAAAGATCTCAGATCAGTCCATTAAATAGTAGGTGAGTATGATAAAACAAATATAAAATTCGTGATTATTCTTTAATAATTCAATTTAATAATTCTTTAAAACAGACTTTTTATCCAGAACCATATTTGATGGGGACGATGGGAAAACACATCTTCATCAATATTTGCAAGATACCTCTTCTTCTCTTCTTGTTGTACTTGTTCATCTGTTCTCTGGACATCCTGAGCTCAGCCTTTCAGTTAGCTGGAGGTAAACTTTAACATATTTTTGTTTTACGTTTTCCACTGTTCACTGATATAGTAACTATATTGTAAACACCATTCTTCCAAGTGAAATGTGAAAAGCTGGTTACTTTGTGACCACTAACTACTAATCTCAACATCACATCCTCAGAGAGGAAAAAAAAGCTTTGATTGGGACGTGTTGTATCTTTGGATAGGTAAGGTTGCAGGGGACATATTCAAGGACAACGAAGTCTTTTCTAACCCTGTGGCGGGACTGGTGGTCGGAATACTGGTTACTGTCCTGGTCCAAAGTTCCAGCACTTCCACCTCCATTGTTGTCAGTTTGGTCTCCTCTGGATGTAAGTCAGATGCAGTCGTTACAAACCCAGTATCGCTCTGCATAATCCAAAAACCCATATAGAATATTATCATTCCTAAAGCACAGCACAGCACTCTGGAATGCTCCATTCTCATTGGTTAATTGCCAGCGGGCTGATATTTCTTAATATTCAGTAGGGATGGCCCGATACCGATACTGGCATCGGGGATCGGGCCGATACTGTCCTAATATACTCGTACTCGTACTCATAAAAATTCGCCGATACCACGCACCGATACCACGTACATTTTGCAAAACGAAACTGGCCGCCGCGAGTGCTTTGTCGAGGTGAACTGAGGCATAGGAAAGTATAATGTCGGCGGTTTGGGCTCATTTCAAGATAAGGGGTGATGACAACAGCAAGGCAGACTGTGAGTTATGTTCAGCTAAGGTGTCGAGAGGAGGGAAAGAAAGTACATCGTTTAACACCAGCAATCTAGTTAAACATCTGAAGACGCATCATAGATCTGATGGCCGAGCGCGCGCGCGGGCGGTAATGCACTCACTCTGTGTGTGCGGGTTACGGGAGAATAAAACGATTCGCGGGACTCCCGCAAACTAGAAATATCTATGAATAAAAAATAAAAGATTTTTATTCATCTCTTGCAGAAAAGCAACAAGAACAACTACAACAAAATAGAAACGATTTACAGGACAGAGTTTCTATTCATAACATGGTTACAGCGTTGAGCGATGTAGCCAATCACAGACATATGTGTTGATTTCTGGAACGCAATGGCCAATCAGAAGCATTTAAGATAGACTCCCCTCACCACTCAAAACGGACTTTTTTGTTCAGTGCTGAATTCTGTATGCTGGCAAATCCTCTAATTATAATGAACAAAGTGTGGATATTATGAAAGATTGATTGTGCAGTCAGCTTCATTGATAATAACAGAGTTGTGTGAGATCGCGATGAACTGTCAGCTTTTAGGATTTATTAAGGGAGCGCACTTTGCGCGCATTCAGAATGCCAGACCATGCACGCAGTAGCCTGCTTGCTTTTATGTTAAATTAACAGTGGTTTGTGTGTTAATACATTTATTATTTTACAATTTATTTTTTATTTTTAGACTTGTTAAAACAAGCAGAGAAGAAAATAAAAACAGTCTTCTAACCTGTGTTCTAAAATAGTCGTCTTCTCTTCTGGGAGCCTATTAATTTTGCGGTAGAAATATCGGTATCGGTACTCGGTATCGGCAAGTACACAAATGTAAATACTCGTACTCGTATCGGTTTGAAAAAAAATGGTATCGGGCCATCCCTAATATTCAGTTTGTGCATTGAATATGCTTACTTATATTAATAAGAATTATATCAAATTGAATTTATACATAACAGTTTATGCATGGCTTCTTACCCCAGTAGGGGCAATCTTTCCCCTCTTTTAATATTTGACATTTTGTGCTATAACAACTAAATTAGCAAATGCTACTATTTATTTCCTATAATAGGCGTCATGAAACTGACGCCTTGGGAATCATTTTGACCATGCTTCAATATTCGACGCTTTAGGCCCCCTTTAGCGTCAGTTATATGACACGATCCTAGGGCGTCATCTTACTGACGCTTTACCTTTAACGTCAGTTATATGACGCTATCTAATCCTAACCCTACCCCAGACCTAAACCTACCCGCGTCACCTAAGGATCGAAGGTAAAGTTCCAATTTCCAAATTGAAGGTAAAGCGTCAATAAGATGACGCCCTAGGATCCCGTCATGTAACTGACGCTAAAGGGTGCCTAAAGCGTCGAATATTGAAGCATGGTCAAAATTGTCATTTTAGTGACGCCTTGGGATGAGAATGCGTTGCATAATAACACATTGGCTGATGCATAATCATCCAGCACATGCTAAACTTATATCTAAAAATTTTACCGTGCAAAAGTAAATCCACAATGGTCTTCAGGGGGGCATCCTATATTTCATCAATAGCTCGGTGAATTCACACAGCTTCATAAGAATTGAAAGCAAAATAATTTCAAACATTGTATGCATAAAACCAAATAAATAGGCTACTTGAAAAGATCATTTTTCCATTGCAAGAGGCGTAACTTGTAGGCCTAACTTGTAGGTTGTGTTTTGCAAAACTGAGGAACGCAGATAGACCCTTCTCAATGTATGTCTGAATTTCATTCATACTACACGCATTCATACTTTATAGAATGTACTTTTAAATTGGCCGGTAAGTGTCAAGACAGTGTCGTTTATGTCATCGCATCCTGCCTCACTCAACTCTCGCTACTTTCGTGTCTCTCATATCTCACTATGAAATCATTCTCTCTTATTTCATACAAATACAAATGCAAATGGCGGCATCTTATTCTTGTGAACCAGTTATCGATTGCAGTGACAATGATTAATAGGCTATTACTGTATTATTATAACCTAATGTTCTCCTTGTTGCTATGCTGATTGTTTTATATATATATTGTACTGTACAAGGTGCGTTCACGCCATGTCATAATTATAATTACGAGATTACGACTTGAACAAAGCATTCACACTCTCGTAGAACTTTTAATTACAACTTGTAAACTGCTCCAACTTGTACCATGTGTGAACACTGAACAACATGTGCACCGCAGATTAATTTTGACATTGATATTGTTGCCATAGTGCATAATTCCGAACAGCTCCGAGTACAATGTCACATGTTGTCATCTCATAATTACAGCAATTACGACATGGCGTGAACGCTGCACATTTTTCCTCTTTAGTAGAAGCTTTAGGATTTTGTATACAGGTAAAATTATTAAATAATTTAAACTGAAATTAAGATTTTTATTTATTTGGAGAGAAGCAGTACTTACTTCCTGAGAATGAACGTTTTGTGCACAATAGCAGCCTCCTGTTTTTTTCTTCTTCTCTCAACTGCCTAAGGATGATTGTTATTGAAACGTGACTCACATCTATCGATCGGGTTTCTACATTCTGTTTCATGCAGTGTTGGATGTTGGATCTGCCATTCCCATCATCATGGGATCAAACATTGGCACATCTGTCACCAATACCATAGTGGCTCTGATGCAGGCAGGGGAGAGAGAGGAGTTCAAACGGTAGAGAGAGCATACAGTACCTCACACTGTCAGCATTCAACCATCAATAAAAAGTTTGGAGCTCTTTAATGACACTTTCTGCGTGGGACTGTTTCAGAGCCTTTGCGGGTGCCACAGTGCACGATTGCTTTAACTGGCTGTCAGTGTTGGTGTTGCTGCCGCTGGAAGCCATCACTGGCGTGATCAGGCTCGCGTCGGAGGCGGTGGTTGAAAGTTTCAACATCGTGACCGGAGAGGATGGTCCAGAGCTCCTGAAAGTCATCACAGAACCCCTCACCAAAAGTATTATACAGGTGCAGCACTATTCTGTAATACAATCTGATTGGTTGATAGAAATAATTGTTCCAGGACTAACAAGGATGCCTTTCTTTCTTCTGTGGAAAACAAAAGAAAAGTTTTAGTACACAGTTGAAAGGCTGTCAATATTGAAAAATGACAAAATCACCATATCATAAAAGTGGTCCAAATGCGACTCATGCTTTATTGAACATTTTTCTCAAGCTATGCAATTAATGTTTCAGAGAATATTGTTTTACATTTTGGTCTGTTCCTCACATAAATCTGTCTTCAGAAGACTTAAGGGCCATTCAGACCAAAGGATGATGACTATAATTATAAAGTTTAATAATAATTCTATTTCTAATTCTATGAGAATACAAAAGTCCACACTAAAACTATAACTATAAAGACACAACATAGTTGCAATCACTTTCAGAATTATATTTTCCGGATGATGAATGATAAAAAACATTTACAATCAGAATCCACACAAATATATAGAGCTTAATCATTTAAAGCAGCAGACAACACAAACCGCAAAGCAGAACAGAATGATATAGTGTATTGGCGTGGACTCTAATACAAAGTTCTGTCGTGGAACTCTAGATGATACAGGCTATAGGGCCTTAACTCAACTTGCTTGCAATCACATCATTATCTGTAGGGCGCAGCTGATTGGTTCCTGCCGTATCAGTAGCCAATGAGCTCGCTGCTCAACCCTCAAATACTTGTTAAGCATTTGCTATAGCAGTGCAGCGCGCTTTCAGAAACCCTCCACCTTCCCCAGCTCCACCTGTATAGATCTGTTATGGGTAATTCATGTATATTATATTGCACAGCAGCAGCAGCAGCAGCATGTCTGTCTTTCTCACAGCAGCTTGTTGTGTATGTATTGGCAGTAGCAAGTACCGTACTTGCTCTGCAGTAAAAATAAACAGCAGCAGCAGAAGATCTATTCCACCAAGACCAAACATATCAACATTGAAATACCCATTACCATGACAAACACTCAGAGAATTGTCACGACACAAATATAATTATTGTTATAACTGTCTTGTTCATTGTTAGTGTTAACAGGACTTTACAGTGCAGTCACATTTACTGTTGTTCAGTGAAATTTCCCAGGTGAAATCCAGTCATTTTGATAGCCATCCACACAATGGTGAATTCTGCACGAGGGCGAAAGATTTACGCACACAGATTCCTCAACAGGTTCAAACTGGTCACATGGATTTACCGTGGTGACAAAAGAAAGCTGCTTGGTTTGTGTGGCAAGCGGGGAGGGGGCAGAGAGCAGTGGGAATGGAGCGAGGCCGGCATTAGCGCCACTTGCGCGCCACAACGGTCTCGAGTCCCACTGAGGAACACCGGAAGGATAAAAGGAGGAGTGATGACAGTGTAGGAGGAGAGAGGACCATGCCTGGGACATTTATTTTAGTGTTTTTATTTTAGTTTATGCGGAAGTCTTCCGTGAGAGGCTGACGCTTTACTTCAGTTTTGTTCTTTTTGTTTATTTTGTGATTAAAGTTGCGATTAACATTCGCCTCAATTTATATTTTCTGCCTCCTCCTTCCCTTAATACAAACCTTGTTACAGTTCGAAAGTGACTTCTGTGTGATTCACAGAATCACCACAGTATTGACAACAGACAATGGACCTTTTTTGTAACAGCACCTTTAGAATGTGGCACGCAAGTCTTATTCGCAACTTTTCTTGTGCTCTTATTTTGTTTTGTTTTTTACCTTTTTGGAGCTTGACAGCCCTTCATAATCATCCACTTTCATTGTATGGAAAAGATCAGCGTGACCGTTCTTCAAAACATCTCTTTTTGTTTTCAATGAAAGGAAGAAAGTTTGGAATGAGTATAATTAAATAATGAAAGATTTTTAATTTTTGGTGATTTATTTCTTAAAGTATGCGGCCAATTGGGTGTCATTATAAATAAAAAGAAAACTGGTCATTAGTTGTCTTGTTAAATTCTTTGTAGCTTGTTAAAACTTGTGTAGCCTAATTAAATATCACACTGTTCACCCTCTGGTACTCTTCAGTCTGTCATTAATCTTAGAGTTTAGAGTTAAAAGAAAATGTTATTTTTCCCTTTCAGCTGGATAAGACTGTAATCGTAGGTATAGCCACAGGGCAAGAGGTGCTGCGCAATAAGAGCCTGATAAAAGTTTGGTGTCAGACACGGATCACGGTGAGCAACGTTTCTGTTTGCTTACAGATGAAGATTTTTGACGCAGCACATGACGTTATCTACATTTTTTTTTTAATCCACAGATCCAAGAGAATGTTTCTTTTCCGCATTCAGAAGCCTCAGCTGTACCAACCACATCACTTCACATGAATGCCGAAAAATGTGAGTCAAATTTCAAAGGGATAGCGAATAAAATGGACAAAAACACAGCATAGAGCCTTCCTTTGATCAATCGGCCTTTAGTCATTTCATGCACACTTTTTAAAATAAAACAGTATTGTTATCCATTCTATCTGGCTTCAAACTGTAAGATTTTTTAATACAGAGAAATGCCTTTCTAAATCCCTCTGTTGACTGTTTGGCTCTTCTGCATTTACTCAGAGCTCCGTCTGGGCTAATAACTGTCATTTATTTTGTATTAGCACATCCTGCAATAGAAAGCCTCTGAGTCAGATGCTTGTGTAAAAGACTAACTACACATTCGACATCAACAACAGTAACAAACAGCGTACATGCTGTTTTAGGAAGCAAGATGTTTTTAAACTTTCAATGAGCTTTTGAGTCATCCTGCCTCACATATTGACTTTGAGACAATAACATTTTATAATCTCATGAGCCATCATAATGAGAAAAAATAGGTAATATATACATATTTATCAGGGGACAATCTATGACTCAAGCCCTCAATTATAAACGTGGGCCTCATTTTTAGAAGCCACTTTTTTGTAAGAATCTGAAATCCTTTTTCTACTAACACATCCCATAATCAGCAGCTGATGGGCTAATCACTGTTAACATGAACACATGCCTGTCAATGCGTGACTGACGGGCACATTTCCACAGGAGAGTGAAGATGTAAATGCATGTGTGTATTGGAGCAGGCACTCATCTATTTGTGGAGACGGGATTGTCTGATCTGGCTGTGGGCTTGATTCTGCTGTCTTCTTCACTGCTGGTGCTTTGCACCTGCCTCCTGCTGCTGGTTAAGCTTCTCAACTCCCTCCTCCAGGGACAAGTGGCTAAAGCTATCCAGAAAATCATCAACACAGGTAACTACCCGTTTATACAGTTAAGGTGATTGCCAGGAGCCGTGTGAAATGCTTTAAAAGATTTCTCAGATATTATTTTTCTTATTTGACCACATACACTCACCTAAAGGATTATTAGGATTATTATTAGTTCAATTTCTCATTAATGCAATTATCTAATCAACCAATCACATGGCAGTTGCTTCAATGCATTTAGGGGTGTGGTCCTGGTCAAGACAATCTCCTGAACTCCAAACCAAATGTCAGAATGGGAAAGAAAGGTGATTTAAGCAATTTTGAGCGTGGCATGGTTGTTGGTGCCAGACGGGCCGGTCTGAGTATTTCACAATCTGCTCAGTTACTGGGATTTTCGCGCACAACCATTTCTAGGGTTTACAAAGAATGGTGTGAAAAGGGAAAAACATCCAGTATGCGGCAGTCCTGTGGGCGAAAATGCCTTGTTGATGCTAGAGGTCAGAGGAGAATGGGCCGACTGATTCAAGCTGATAGAAGAGCAACTTTGACTGAAATAACCACTCGTTACAACCGAGGTATGCAGCAAAGCATTTGTGAAGCCACAACCTTGAGGCGGATGGGCTACAACAGCAGAAGACCCCACCGGGTACCACTCATCTCCACTACAAATAGGAAAAAGAGGCTACAATTTGCAAGAGCTCACCAAAATTGGACAGTTGAAGACTGGAAAAATGTTGCCTGGTCTGATGAGTCTCGATTTCTGTTGAGACATTCAGATGGTAGAGTCAGAATTTGGCGTAAGCAGAATGAGAACATGGATCCATCATGCCTTGTTACCACTGTGCAGGCTGGTGGTGGTGGTGGTGTAATGGTGTGGGGGATGTTTTCTTGGCACACTTTAAGCCCCTTAGTGCCAATTGGGCATCGTTTAAATGCCACGGCCTACCTGAGCATTGTTTCTGACCATGTCCATCACTTTATGGCCACCATGTACCCATCATCTGATGGCTACTTCCAGTAGGATAATGCACCATGTCACAAAGCTCGAATCATTTCAAATTGGTTTCTTGAACATGACAATGAGTTCACTGTACTAAAATGGCCCCCACAGTCACCAGATCTCAACCCAATAGAGCATCTTTGGGATGTGGTGGAACGGGAGCTTCGTGCCCTGGATGTGCATCCCACAAATCTCCATCAACTGCAAGATGCTATCCTGTCAATATGGGCCAACATTTCTAAAGAATGCTTTCAGCACCTTGTTGAATCAATGCCACGTAGAATTAAGGCAGTTCTGAAGGTGAAAGGGGGTCAAACGTATTAGTATGGTTATCCTAATAATCCTTTTGGTGAGTGTATGTCACTGTATTGCATCTCAACACATTGATATGCTCTTATGAATCTTGATGGTCCGATTAGCACATTTATTATATTTATTCTGAACAACCCTCATGATGGGGTTAATGGCAGAACCACCCCTGACGCAGAACCTGATTTCACCAAGAGCAACATGTTCCAGGATCAAAAACTCTGTTGATCCTGGAAAAACATTTCAATCAACCAATCAGATTTGAGAGACAAGTTTATGCCAATTTCAGTCTTACAACCAGGGTTAGGTGCTTATCAGTGTTATTCACCTATCATTACCCTCTGATTTTAGGGATAACTTATGGGTAGGATTAAATTTTCAGACAGGAATGTCGTTCCAGGACCAACAGAATATGTTGACACAGGAACGCATCTAACTTGAGTTTTTGAAAGAACTTATAGGCTCCAATAAGCACTTTGTCAGTTTTTGACTGCTTCCCTTTTCAAAAGCATGCTAAAAAGTTCATCCAGTGTTTCAGTCTGAGAAACCCTGAAGGGAGCCTCAATTATCTTGTCATTTTTCCAGCATTTTTAGGTGATAAACAAATCACTTTCCTGCAGACTTTCCTTTTCCGTTTGGCTGGTTGACTGGCTACCTGGCCATTCTGGTTGGTGCTGGAATGACTTTTGTTGTTCAGAGCAGTTCGGTGTTCACTTCTGCCATCACTCCTTTGATAGGTGAGTCCTTCCTCCCTAAGATGACCAGGCTGAACTTATGGCCAAGAATATCAGCAAAGAGTTTGAATTTCTTCTGTATAATTTAGCTGTGCATCAACTGAACCCGAGAAATTCATTTCACCCAAGATCACCTCTGAGTAATGCACTAATATTTGCATTTAGACACCACTGAGCCTCAGAGGAGTCAATCTTTAGCCCTCACAGGGTTGACTGTTGACTTCCACTCATTCGTATTCACTATGAGCTTTGTGCTCTGGGAATAAATGGTCTGTTCAGGTCGATGAATAATGTGAAGGTTTTACTCAATGTAGTAACTCATGCACTCGATTTCCCAGAGAAATGAGAGACATAAGTTGTTGTGCTTCAACAAATAAGAGCGAGGGAGAGAGAAATTAAATAGAGGAAAGGAGAAACAGAACCAAGTGAAGAGAGATGTTCACTTGATGCTCTCAACTCTCTCTAATCCACCTGGGCTTCTGATTGATAGACGAGTGATTGTCTAACTTTGCTCCTGGATTTATTGTAATTAGCTACACAGTGATTATACTTTCTAGTGAGGCATGACAGATTATGGATCCACAGCATCCTAATTACACTGCCTGGGAGACCACTAATCCCACAGAGCTTAAGAGCTGCCACACAAGCCATAATGTGTGCAGACTATATTTTTCAAACATTATTTCTTCTTCCCAAAGGCAAACCCAGGTAGTCTTTTCAAACAGGTGCACTGTAAAAAAAAAAAAAAAAAAGTAGCTGCCTTCATTTTTTTTACAATCAACTTGGATGTTTAAGTAATTTTAACTTTAGTTACATTAAACTGATAAAACTGAAAAACGTTTGTTGAATTATTTTAAAACCTTTAATATAAAAAGGTTGAAAATTGCTGAACTTATTTTGATGAGTTTAAGCAATCTAAAACGTGTCATCAGAACTATAAATTGATCATATACTTTTTTTTACAATGTGAAGACTTTTAGGGGTTAATGACAATAGAGAGTGTCATGATTGATAAAAGGAAAAATCTTTAAAAAAATTTGTTTAAAATACATGTGCCAATTTCTTAGAAACATACGTTTTGTATTTTTTTTACAGATTTTTTTTTTTTTTTTTTAAACTTTAATACCATTTTCAAGAAACGTAACTTCAAGTTACACGTATAATTTTACACATTTATTCCTGTGACGCAAAGCTGAATTTTCAGCATCATTACTCCAGTCTTCAGTGTCACATGATCCTTCAAAAATCATTCTAAAACACACATTATGAAATAAATCTTTTTCTCCAAAACATGTTGGCCACAATTATTGGCACCCCTAGAATTTCTTACGAGTAAAATATCTCTGAAGTATATTCCCATTAATATTTACCTTTTGTTATCACACCAGGGTGACTAGGAACATGCAATTGTCCAGCCATGACTTCTTGTTTCACAGGAGTTTAAATATGAGGAAACACAAAGGCCAAAGTCCCTTAATCATCCACCACAATGAGTAAAACCAAAGAATATAGTTCTGATGTGCTTTAAAAGATTGTTGAGCATCACAAAATAGAAAGTGACTGTAAGAAAATAGCTAAAGAATTGAAAATCCCCATTTTGACCATCAGGGCAAAAATGAAGAAGTTCGAAACAACTGAAGATGTTACGAATCTGCCAGGAAGAGGACGTGCGTCTATTTTGTCTTAATGGACGGCGAGGATGAAAGTTTGAGTGGCCAAAGACTCTTCAAGGATCACAGATGGAGAATTGCAGAGATTAGTTGAGTCTTGGGGCCAAAAAGCCTTAAAAAAAATCAAACATCCCCACATGTTATTTGGGAGGGTTTCAAGAAAAATCCTCCTCGCTCATCCAAAAAACAAACTCCAGCAAATTCAGTTGTCAGACAAGACTGGATCTTCAAACGACACAGGGTTCGGTGGTCAGATGAAACAAAAAAAAGAGCTTTTTGGCAGCAAACACGCTAGATGGGTTTGGTGCACACAGGATAAAAAGTACACCACGCCCACAGTTAAATATACCATTGGATCTTTAATGTTGTGGGCATATTTTTCTGCTGGAGGTCCTGGACATCTTGTTCAGATACATGGCATCGTGGATTCTATCAAATATCAACAGATAAAAAATCAAAACCTGACGCCTTCAGCTAGAAATCTTATAATGGGCAAATGGATCTTCCATCAGGACAACGATCCAAAACAAACATCAAAATCAACACAAAAATGTGTTACGGAGCACAAAATGAAGCTTCTGTCATGACCGTCCCAGTTCCCTGACCTGATGAGTGGAGTGAACTGAAGAGAAGAAGCACCAACATGGATCTGGCAATCTGAAGGATCTGGAGAGATTCTGTATGGAGGAATGGTCTCTGATCTCTCTCTTCAGGTGTTCTCCAAACTCATCAGGGATTGTAGGAGAAAACTCAGAGCTGTTATCTTGGCAAAAGGAGATTGCAAAAAGTATTTAATAAAAGGGTGCCAATAATTGTGGCCAACGTGTTTTGGAGAAAAACATTTATTTCATAATGTGATCCCCCCCCCCCCCCACTTTTAATTATTTTACTTCAATGAAAGGTTAGATTTTTGTCATTTTTTTTTAATGAAAGACCAAAAGGATAAATGATGCAGATTTATTTTTTTTACAGTTTTGATCATATTTACCTGGGGTGCCATTATTTCTGAGCACAACTGTACTTGTTTCTCTGAAAAACAATGCTACAGCCAGTTATTCTAGTACTTTGAAATGTGCTTTCCGTGTCGGAATGCCTGTTTTTGTTTTGGTTTGTGCGATCCCGCCGCTGACAATTTACCCAATATTATTTCGTCACCCAGGGTTGCCATTTGGTGGAAAACACAGCGTATAGCCATAGAAGCCAGCAAACAAAGTAGGTCAGAGATCGCAGATTCTACCCAACCGAAAAAGCCTCAGCATCCATCTAAAAAGCGTCGCGTGTCCTCTGAATGGAAACCCGCGCGAGGAGGAAGAAGTGCGAATACAGAAAACAACCCTCTCAAATATTTTGAATTTAGACTGCAGTACCCATTTCAACCACTAGCTATCAATATTACATACTGCACCTTTAATGAGTCCTTGCTGAATAAAATTATCAATTTCTTAAAAAAAAAAAATCTTACTGACCCAAAAGTTTGACCGGTAGTGTGTATACATAGTATATGACTTTACTATAATATAATAATTTTATTCTTTTAATGAGGCTTTTTTCCATTAGAACAACCACTACAGCCATCTTAGCTGCATTAGCTAGCCCAGGAGACAAGCTAGCTGCAGCCTTTCAGGTGATGTCTTTTGAGACCTCAACATTGTCACAATTAATCAGTGACTGAGTTACAGCACTCTAGGAATGGTGGATTGATCTTAGAATATTGATGCTTCCGATAATACGTAGGCTAATGTTGTATCATCCTGTCACTCACATAAGATTACAGTAATTAGCAAACAACATCAATCTAACTGTTCAATCAATTCCTGATGGACAAAATCAAGTCCTACCCTACATTTATTTCCTCGTTCAAGAAGTTCACTCAGATATATGTCACAATAGGGAAGAAAAGACGATCGAAGCCTTTGGGCCAGATTTACTAACAGCTTGCGCCACCGCAGACCCTCTTTGTGGTGTTAAAAAAACTACTGTCAACTAAAAACACGCAGTGAAAAATTTGTGCTGAAATGGCATGGACAGGGTTATTTTTTACGGCTGACCTTATTGCATATGCCTTTGTAGGAGTTTCCCTTTCAGAAGTATTTAAATTAATTATGCAAAGTGATTTACTAAGGTTTGCACTGACCAATTTACTGGTTTGGGCCATTATTTACCCGAAAAAAAGCATGTCTTAAATCAGATGCTAATTTGAGCTGCTCTTGGTAGATCGCGTTTGTCATTATGGAAATGATTCGGCTGCGTCTGTGTTTCTTTAATTTGCGTGTCGTCAGTAGATCACGTGTTGAACTTTCCACTCCCATCTGCGCTTTTATGGGATTGTGCTCTCATGCTAATTTTCCCTGATTAGTAAATCTGGCACTTTATTTCATGTCAACTTTAAAGGGATAGTTCACCCAAAAATGAAAATTCTGTAATCAATTACTCACCTTCAAATTGTTCCAAACCTGCATGAATTTCTTTCTTCTGCTGAACACAAAAATAATATTTTGAACTGAAGAATGTCGGTAATCAGACACTTTTTTTCAGTCAATGGGGTCCATCAACTGTTTGGTTACCCATATTCTTCAAAATATATATATTTTTTTGTGTTCAGCAGATGAAAGAAATTCATACAGGTTTGGAACAATTTGAAGGCGAGTAAATGAGGACAGAATTTTCATTTTTTTTTGGGTGAACTATCCCTTTACCGAATGATAAAACAGAAGTTTGATAGTTATAGCAGTTTAATCCTTTTTAATGTTGATAATGAATGATTTAATGATAATTGTCTAAAATTACACATTTTTTTCCCTTGATTTTGTTATTTTCAAGGAATAAACATTAAATAAACATCAACCTTAAATAGGCAAAATTTATTTGAAAAAACTAAACAAAACTGAGAAACAGGCTTGCAAATTTATCCTAAATGATCTTTTTAAGTTAATAAATGGTAAAATTGTATTAATTTCATCCATAAAAAATATGGATATACTGTATATTTAATAGAGATATTAGTATCAGTGGGCGATATTGGCCTTAATACTAAGGATTTGAAAATAAGTTGTATTGCTCATTCCTAGAGACCTATTTTTCAGATAGTCTGTTTGTAAAGCAAATAAAACAATGTTCCATCCCTCATGATGCTCTGCACATTGTCTCTCTCAGGTTGCTCTGTGTCATTTCATCTTCAACATTCTGGGAATATTGCTTTGGTACCCAGTTCCTCTTAGCCGTCTCCCCATTCGCATGGCACGGTTTTTGGGTGAGCGGACAGCAAAATATAGGTGGTTTGCTGTGCTGTACCTGATTCTGTGCTTCCTCCTTCTGCCATCCATTGTCTTTGCCCTCTCCATGGCTGGATGGCAGGTTCTGCTGGGGATCTGTGTGCCATGTGTTGCTCTCCTCCTCTGCATTGTTGTTGTGAATAGACTGCAATCGCAAAAGCCTCACCTCCTGCCTTGGTGGCTGCAAACCTGGGACCACCTTCCTCTCTGGATGCACTCACTCAAACCATTGGATACCATCATCACAAGAGTCACATTGTGCTGCAGGAAAGCCCAGAACAGTGATCAGAGCCGCACGTCTCCCGAGGATCTGCCACAATTGACGGAATATGAAGCTGAAAAAAATCAAGCCCCTTTGGCACAGAATAGCCCAACTTTGATTTATGATTATGAGACTGAGACGGGGGCAGTTTTTGACTCATTGGATGGCAAGAGCAGCAGGATGTAGACTACATGTGGTCCATTAAATGCTTTTTGGCTCTTAAAATAGTTTATCTTTTCATATCGTGATTAAACAGGTTTCCTCTCTGCACTTTTTGTGAGTTTTTCTGAAGCAAAACTACCCGACACAGCCACAGAAATTAATTCAAACAATGGGGTACAAATTAGGGCCTCTTACACATTTTTTCCCCCTTTGTTCAGTGAAAGGAGAAGCGTAACATTCAAATAAAATGCAGCATGAGTGTATTACATATGCTGTTATTTTCATATCAAGTTGGCCAATTTTTTCAACCCTGTGACCATGTCTAAATATTAAAACTACAGTTTCTGTGATTTATCATTATTATTTAGGAAGTAATAAAGTTAATTGTATGTATAGAGCATTTAAATTCAGCTTGACCAAAGTGCTGTACAATTTGTTTTATAAAATACAATAAAAAATATTAAAAACAGTTAGTAATCCAAGTTAATAGTCAGGAAAGCCTAGAGAGTAAAGTCTTAAGTCTAGATTTAAAAACAGAAATAGAAGGAGCACTCAACTGAATCCATAACCGTGAAGCAGACTCTGCAAAGGCTCTGTCACCTTTTGATTTAAGACGTGACCGTGGGACATGTAAGAGTGCTTTACTGGCAGACCTGTATAATTATTACCTGTTATTATTAAAAATTATTTGCCATCCAACATTTAATATCCTCAAGACAGTCCATGAGAGGCTGCAGAGAATCTCTAGATTTTAATGGAAGAAACAGCTATGATTCATCGCCATAGAAATGAAAAGAAATTATATATTTCCTAATGATATTGCAGAGCAGCAAGAGTAATGGCCCCAAAATGGACCCCTGAGGAACCCCACAGGAGAGAGAGAGACAGATGATGAGAAAACTGGCCAACAGCCACTGAAAATGTCCTAGATTTAAGATGTGATTCAAACCAGAGTAGTGCTGAATCCTTAATGCCTACTGTTCAAAGCATGACAGAAGGATATTGTGATCTATCGAGACAGTACCAGTGACTAAGAATTAATAATTACTCGAATGCTAGAACCATTTGTATCAAAATAACTTATGATGTCAGAGGGAACAACATCGTGGGGCGAAGTTGTAGATTTCATCTGCATCACTGAGTTCCTCAGGTCAGAGAAAGACACCCGCTGAAAGATGCTCAAGTTGGCTGTATAACGGAACAGTCAACCAGAGTATTAGAGTGAGAAGGAATAAGAAAGGATAGAATGCCATCAATCTTTTCAATAAAAAAACCCCCCTCAAAAATCTCTCACACTAAGGGGATGGTTCTACTTAATTAGAGATGCAAGGTTTAATTATTGAATGTATAGTGCTGAACAGGATTTTAGGGGTTTGAGAATATTTACTGATAATTCCAGAGAAGTAAATTTGGGACATTTGTATTTAAAAGGTGCTATAGAGTCCAAGATATCTGAGCAAGAACAATTAAAGAGAGAAATTAGATTGTCTGGGCTTGAAGAATGCTTAGCAGCAACTGAAACTGCTGTTGAAACATCATTTTTTTTATTTTGAATTCATCATTTTTTTTTTTTTTTTAAAGAATAAACATCAATAACAAAACAGACAAAATGTAAGAAAAAAAATAGGCCCAATTTGCATGGAATCCACATATTTTACCGCATGTGACAGAGAATTTTAGTTTCACCGCAAATATGAATAAGGTTGAATTAATGGCCTGTCATAAATTGAAGACTCATTTTCAGTCAATCTCAGTCCGACTATATGAATGAACACTTTTACAATTGACTTCCTTGAGTGGACCCTGTGACTTTACTGACAAGTCAATTTTTAAAATGCTCAGATTCAGTCCTCAGAAGCAATGACACGCATAGTCAAGCATATGACTAATTACAACATGCTTTTCAAAACGGTCATTTTCACATGGAATTAAACTGACTGACTTCACTGAGAGCCTCTCAGTGACAGTTCTCATTAAATGAAAGATAGGCCTACATGATGTGGTGTGGTCTATTTATGTGACGTTGCGTATTGGTCACGTTCCATGACTCCATGGACAGCAAGTATGTGTGGGCTTTGAGGACCACCCACACAAACAAGGTGCTGTAAGTTTTAACATTTAAGTTTTCATTTGGTCAGAACAAAAGTGGCAGATATGTTACTTACTTAAGCCTAGTAGGATGTACTTCTGATTGTCATGTCATGTACTTCTGATTGGATGGTGGGTCCCACTATATCAGTTATAGTGCCCTTCTGGCACACTCAGTGTCCGAATTCATTCACTCGTTTTCATTCACTCCTTCAAGTGAACTATATCAATGGAGTAATGTATGGAATAGTGAATGTGTAAGGGGGCGATTTCGATCGCAGTCCAGGAAGATTTAGGGTCGGAGTTAAACTGATCTTTCCGGCCTGGAACCCCTTTTCTGCAGTGGAAATGAGCAGAATGGTTCGAATGGTACGAATAAAGGCCGGGAACCCACACCGGGACCTTGGGAGAAATTGGAGAAGATCAAGCAGCACAGCAGTTGATTAATATGAAGCTTGGCAGCGCAGCTTGCCAAGTCTTTTCTACCCTGTCTTTGAAGAGTTTTGAGTTCAGATATCATAGGCTGTCACTTTTTTTAAATATCCATAAGGCAATTATTACATTTACCACAGTTGTGAACAATACATCAACCTTACTTAGTACCAAATATGTGGATGTGTATTTTGCTTGGATAACATGCCGTTTTTTTTGTTTTGTTTGTTTTTTAACAGAGACCAAAACATTTTTTTTGTGGTCCTGAGTATCGTATTAAGTTGGCAGAATGTTTGGCATGTTTAAAGCATTAGCAGTCTTGTGTCAAGACAAAATTATATATGGATCATGATGTGCCCTATGGTAATTTATTCTACACAGATTTAAATAAAGTTATCATAATTAATATTGTATGTTTTTTTTATAAGTTTAAAGAGGTAATGGAGTGGAAACTTTCTCATAAAAATCTCATAAAACCAATTCATGGTTAATTCATCACAATGTTGAATATTCAGAGAGCTCCTGTTTGCATCTCATTTGCCAGTGGATGATAGAGGGAGGCCTTTTCTTTTGAGTCTGAGTGTATTCACACCAGGAAAGTCCACTAGTTCACTTACTTTGGTCCGGACCATATACAATGTTAATTTATTTTTATTTGGTGTGGTTCGCTTTCATACTGCCCTTTTTGCAAGTGAACCAACATTTATTTTATAAGAACTCCAGCATTATTCTGTCTTTAGTAAGTGCAAAGTGTCTTGAAACTACTATAGCCTATTAGTATTTTTCACAAATTAATGAAGCAGTCAAATTAAGAGCAGTTGACTGTCGTCGTTGCGTATTAGCTTGGTTGTTCTGTTCTTGCAAAGAGTCTGTTCATAAGTGTTTTGTTTCTTCTATGTTCTTGCACATAAAGGATAAGTTGCAGCAACTAGATCCTCACCTCATCTCTGCATCCCACTTGTAACATGTGGATTCTACAGTCCGTGATATTTAATAAAAAAAAGTTTGTTTAAGAAAGTCCTGTGGTGATATTTTTTGTTTTTATTTGGTGCTTTAGGAGCAATTAAAATCAAGAAGACATTTTACCTCAGGGTCTGCTTTAACCGTGTTGTACCCTGTGTCTCTGCGGTAGAGGTTTATTTCAGTTAAGGATTAAAATGTCAAAAATGATTGGGTTCTGATGAAAGCGTTGCTTTCAGGTGACAGCCGGGAAATTGTTTTTACGGCTATCCTATGGTGAGACATGATTAAAAAATTGCTTTAGACACTTCAACACGTTTACCATGAGGAGCAAACCAATATTAAATTATGCAAGAGGTTATGTGATTGCACTAAAGATGTAAAAGAATCATGATTTTTGTTTGAACAACAGTAAACAATTATCCCATTGTACTTACAGTTTATCTCATGACAAATCTTGCAGAGTACAGTAAAGTACAGTAATTCAGTGATTGCTGAATCATTGCAGAACAATTTCCACTAGTAAGAAAGATACAAGCCATTCTTGCAAAGACACAACTTGAAGTTACTAAAGTGGTCGCCTCAAGTATAAACCATGAACTGAACTATGGCGGCAAATAAAGTCTTAAAGGAGACAGTTCACACAAAAATGAATATTTGGTCATTGTTTGCTCACCCTCATATTGTTCTAAACCTGTTTGACTTGCTTATGGAACACAAAAGAAGATATTTTGAAGAATGTCTTCCATTGTATGGACAAAAATACAATTCTCAAAATGTATTATTTTATGTTCCACAGAAGATAGAAGAAGTAAGTCGTGGTTTGGATTGACACGATGGTGAGAAACTTTTGGGTGAACGTTCCCTAAAGTCATAAGAAACATCAAGGAGTTGGTATATATCAAGTCATAAGAAACATCAAGGAGTTGGTATATGAATTGATTTAGTTTGAAGGCTTTTCACCACTCTACACTGCAATCACAAAGTTTTAAGCAAAATTCACAGACGCTCTCCAAAAATATTATAAGAGTTCCCATTTGATTAAACTCTGCAGTACACTTTTATTTCCATGTTTATGCCAACGTACAGTAGCAACATTAAACATTCACATTGAAGGTTCATATTCGGCCAGAGTTGCAAAGTCACTAAATTCACAGTATCCTGTCTTAATTTCTTTTGGCTTTCTGTAAGCTTTGTGATATTAATGAACAGCATGCTCAAAATTTAGTTAGCAACCTTTTATGTTCGAACCTGATTACAGTAGCTACATTAGATCATTCCCTTGTGTTAGAAGATGTCTGCATATTAATAACATACTGCTGTCCTTCTGACAGTGAATTCACTGATGGAGTCACCTACACAGTTAAATGAGCTGCACTCCTAGTCACCTCCCCCTCACTTTTATGTAAAGTGCAGTGTGTGTTCCAACCACCTACACTGAGCATGTTACCAGCAGGCCCATAGGGAAAGAAACAAACTGCTCCACATCTCACAACATTATGGCTTTAATACACTGAGGTTGGGCAGAACCTTTTGCAGGTTTGATCCACTTCTATGTTGTAGAAAATCTCATTGATTTGATTTCAAAAAGCATGAAGTCATAGAGTTTCTTCTGTGTTGTCAGTGAA